CGAAATACCGGCCATGAATTCCATCAACAAAACTAACAGACCCAACAGCTAGCTAATTAAGTCTTATTTCATTCAAATCATTCGGAGGGGGGGGGGAACTGTTATCTAGACCACTAACTGTCCATTCATCGACCAACTATGGTCGCCTTCTCAGAATCAAAATTCGGTTAAATATCAAGAAACAGCGTATAATTGATTGATTGATTGCTTGTTAAACTACCTGAGATAAGTTTTGCTGACGTTCTGGTTTTATTGTATAGAGTTGATGTGAAACTCAGGACCAGTAGTTTGAAGGTTACCAGTTGAAATCCTAGTGTTAGCTAGGTTTCCTGGGGAATTCAATCATCAAAGCAAGGCTACATCAGATAGTCTAATCGCAGTTACATATTACTGACGTATTGCAATCTTTATATACGATTATAATAACACTGGTTACAGAGAATCACTAATAGGAATTCATTAAGTTCAATTGTGAATGAATTAGAAATGCACACAGAATAGGCGGTTAGAGGAATTAAAAAAGCACAGTAAGGAACATGATTCATCAATAATTAAACGACAGCGTATTGAGCACAGAAAGACACAAAAATATTGGAAGTAGATGCTGCCACCCGATGGAGTCCCTCGACTTTCAATGACTTTTTATGATACTGACTAGTGACGAACAATGCTACAAGAAATCTTCTACTGAAATCCGTTGTCTTGCAAAAGGTGATGCCTTCAAAACAGACGTGAACTCATGTTAACCAATGTCTCAGTCAGACAGTATTACTACCGGGAGCTATCGAAGTCGACCACCTGCAAACACCTACTATCACAATAAAGTGTATTGTGATGGTAATTTCCCAATCTTGATGACCATATTAGTCGCATGGTCGATAGAATTCTGTTAGCACTTAGGACTAGACCATCCACTATTGTCTGAGAGATTAATTATTCCCATTTATTCAAACAATCACCTCTCGTTGATCAGCTTTCGCTCTTAAAGACTACAAACTCATTCAGATTGTATTCGCAAGGAATTATTCTTCAATGATCCCCCATCCACCATCACTCACAAGCTTACTTATAACACTAACATCTAGAAGTTATCGCAAAATACTAATATCATGCATATACAGGTCGAAATGGAATAACACATCCCTTCCTCTAAAGGATCAATCAGAAATGAATTCAACAGAAAGAAGTCAGGTAGACTAGCTGAATTATGGCGACCATGACACTAGTATTGGATACCAAGATGATAGAAAAACATCCTATTGATTAGATTTTTGCATCCATCATTTAATTGGGTTGAATCTCGCAGTTACTATTGATGCAGGTTGATGTGTTTTTTCGAAGTGGTTTTCATCCTTCTCTACAAAACCAAATTTATTCAACTGGGAGGTTTTTGTGACGGGGACTTGATCGAACGTTTAAGCAAATAACAAACAAGGATTCATCAGTGACTTGCTTCGACTAAGATTTCGTGAAATTCTAGTCAAAAAACTCCTGATCTATGGGGTTAACAGAAAGTCGAATATAACAATAGATCTTTACTTGTGAGATAAAATCACAGCTATGCTATATCGAGATTTAAAGAAGTAGGGAAATATGTACTATTCTATTCTATCCTACCAAATGATTGAGTAGTAAGATGCTCATTGTGGAACTCAACGGTTCGGGTTCGAAGATGTATGGGACTTTGGGTTTGCACTAATGAGGATGAATGGAATCCAAATACACTTAGCAACCTTGTGCACATTCGTGCAGTAGACAATGAGCCACACCTATTGTGTGAGGGCTAGTGATACTATCTGGCTGCTTAAACCTCAGTAGGTGGAACAGGGTTCGAACCAGCGATTCACAAAAACAAACCTGGTTGTCCTAGTTTCCCGTAGATCGTAGTAGTGTGGATGTATTGTTGAGGTAGTCAGCTGTTATTTGGTAGTGTAACTTGTAAATTAACAATCACTCCTATTGTGTAACAGCTTATGATACTGCATGGTTGCCATAACCGAAGTAGGTAGCGCGGTGGTCATCACTCACCGGTAAAAAAATCGAATGCCTACACATCAGTGATCCTCAGCTTCAGGCTTTTTTTTTAGAGTATACGCAGTTGTGAAATAACAATTCCTTCTATAAATGTAAAACCATTAATTTAACCTAGAAGAATATTAAACCATACATTAAGTTCCTGACTAGCCCACCAGGAAAATAGTAGACTAAGGTGTGCAGGTATTTGTTATGTGTATTTAAAAATAACATTTCCTATGGTATCTACTAACGTGAAATTTACAAACAAGGTGGAGTGCATATACATGAAGCATATAATAACCACTCCCATGGCGAAGATTAAAACATATACACAACTGTTAATATAAATCAAGAGAAAAAAGTTGAAGAGGTAAGCAAATTTCTTAAACTTTTCATCAGACAATGAAATATTAGATAAAGTTCCAATGTGTCGGTAAACACTTGAAAAATATGCTAGTGGTTAGCGTCAACGATACACAAAAGTAAACTCACATCTTCATAATATTGACTATGTATAAATTTCGACTAAAACAAAATTTATATTGAACATGAAATGAAAATACAACTAGTCGATCAAGCTGTCAAGGCTAATAAACAGCAAGTCATCAGATAAGAATATGGAAAAAGGAAGCACTTTCAATATATAACTGGACAACTGATCAATATTAACTGAGACAGGCCACATCGGTTAAATTGTAATGAAGTAATATTTCAACTCTTTAAGAATTCCTGTTATGACTGAAAAGATATCTTAATCAACAGAGAGCATTCTTTTCAATAGATTCCTTCTCACATCCCACAATTATATACCCACACTGTTTAGGTACAAGAATGAAATACATATATATCAACAACAACAATAGCATGAGAAACTTCACTGAAGTGTACAGTTCCATTAAGTCTAATAACGAACTTCGTGAGAAAAGCAATGAAATTCATGCAGTGGGCAATGAGTTATACTTCTTGTGTGAGGGCTAACGATACTACCTGCTTGTCCACACCTCGATAAGATGAGTAATATTCGAACCCCTTATTCACTCGTTGAAAGCCATCTCCTTAAACAAATGAGTCACAGCTCCACCGAAAAGAATCGAAGTGACTGGAGGTCAGATGAGGTTACATATGTTTGTTTGTGGGTTTGGGTATGTATGAACTAAAGAATAGATCACTTTAACCAGTTGGTCGGAAAATTTCCATCCTACTGTGGATATATGAATGATAGGTTTATTCTTTATGAAAACAACATGAACAAATGAAAAATACTCAGCACGTTCAACGCAGTACAGTCAGCGAATAAGTTCACATGTGCAAAAGGGTATGAAGGCGGAACAGGTATTCTTGATGTTTTTTTTCTCAAGATTGTTATTGTTATACTAGTAGTAATGGTTTTATTCCAAACAGTATGTTTGATACAGCATGAAATTCCCAACATGTAATATTTCAATGCTTAATGCATCTAAATGATGTTTTGATAATAACATCATTAAAGGCAATAGTCTAAATCAGACGGTTAAAAAGTTGGATTAGCGTCCAGTGTTTAAACACCGCTAATCAGTGATGGTGGTTTATTCAGCCAATAGAAGTGTAACGCATTTGAAACCTTACCCATTCACTTTTTAATTTCGACTTCTACACTGCCTCATCTCTTCGCTGTCGAGCTCTACAGTTTTTCGATGTAACTATATCCTATGTACTTGCTGAGCCGTTGCTACATGTTTTTTTCTTCCTCTTCTCCCTTCGAAATTGTCTTAGTCATCACTAAACTCATACCCCTCTATGCGCTCTTCTGCAAAAACGTACCTAACTACAGGCTAGACAAAAATCTACAGACAGCTGGTCAGTACACAGAAGAATGTGCTACTCGAGATGGGCATCCGAGGAATGAATAAGCAGGTAAGAGAGACAATTGATAAATATAAGCAGCTACATTACTTCTGAAGGTGTGTGCGAGACTGATACCCCGTGACTGCCTAGTATGGATCACGTTTTCTTGAAGTGGCTAAAAAATCTGGATATATGTTGGGTTTTCTGACCTACGGATGCTTGAGGAGTCTGATGGACATCCACTTGAGGTATGTCACATAGGAGTATTTGAAAATACTTGACTGAAGTGATACAGATCAGGTTTCACACTTATAAGAAGCTATGCAACATGAAATTCATTGAAACTCGTGGAATCTGCTCTGTTAGAGTTCACACATTAAATACTTCCTCCGACAGTAGAAAGGCAACATCGCAGGATACGTTTACTATTTTGGAACACTTAACTAGTTTTCTTCACATCTTGATATAATCTTGGTTATGTTGTATTCAATGAGCTAGGTGGTTTAATCGTGAAGCTTTCATTGTCATCACCATTAACTTCCTAAACATGAAGTGAGCTGTCAACATCTCTCTGTGAGTGTTTCAGTAACTTCCCCTGACGAACTAGTTTGTGACTGGTTGTTTCCTTTGATTATTATTATGTCATTGACTGCATAGATTTTCTTGTCGGCTGTTCCTCTGCCTGACCTCCGACCTTGTAGTTGTTTATCATTTTCCTTAGTGTTTAATAGATTGAGTCTATGTCTATACATTTATTGGTTGCTGACTGACTGATATTTTGTGTTTTCTCTGTCCAAGATTTCTATATTTTCAAAATTGAATTCATATGCATAATTATCCACGTGCATTGAAATGGGTGATAATAATGATAACTGATTTGCCTTCTTTGGATATTGCGTCCTTCGGTTTGCATAACATGGTGTGAACGGAATTGGTTGATTTGAGCCATACCAATTCCAAGGGGTCTCAGTTGGGATCTTTGAAATGTTCTTTATATATGATCCATTTGTTGATTTCTGTGGATGGTTTTGTAGTTGATGATGAATAGGATTGGTACCTTGTGATAAAGTTTCGTGAGTAGACGTTCTTCAGGATAGACATGACGTAATTTTCTTCGCTTCTGAATGAATTTGTTATTTTGCAGTATGTTTTTTTCTTTTGAATAGAGTCTGTATGCAACTAATTTTGTGTTGTTGGGTTGTTTCTACTATAGTCGACGGCTTAATCAGTATATGTTGACTACCTGTCCCCTCGAGTTTCCAGTTTTCCGGCATTTGTTCTACCCTTCGGGTTCGATCTTGCAGACAAAACTAATCACTTTTAGACTCACAACACGTTAACTAACCTTCTTTGTACTCTGATTTGTCAATAAACAGATATTTGAGTCCATATCAATAGGATAAATCACCACTATCACCGATGATTGGCAAGGTGACATGAGATAACTTAACAACAATGGATGTAAGTGGTGCAAAAACACATTAGTTTTTACACTTGTGCTAAATCTGCAGCGTCTTCCACTAGAATATGCATACTTTACTCGGAATTGTTTACGCTTATGGTGAATAAAGCGGGAATTAAAAAAGACTGGTACTGGATAAAGAACAGATAGGAATCTAGAAACAGTGAACACCTATGTCATTTTAGTTTGAATCCACAGCAGTGCACACACACAATGGATGATACCTAAGACCATTAAATCTCGTGACGAACATGTTGGCATTTAGTTCGAACCAGTTAACCACCACAAAATCCTTTATTGAAAAAGGGGAATGTTTAACAGCAAACATTAAAACATACAGGTACGTCTGTCGAAATGGATGACTTACGTCTGATGTTAGTCGAACTATTGCCATTGCAGCTTCATTGTACAGACCTCTGCTGCACAGTGCTTCAAAGTTCAACAAAGTTGATCGTAAAGCAAGCTCTGGAGATCTAAAATAAAGAATGGTCAGTTACACAATGCACACACACACATTAAACTAGTCAAAATTACTTACAATTACGTTAAGAAGTCAACATATAAAGAAATAGTCAGATTTGAGATGTTCAACACATTAAACAAGTTTTCATCACTCCCTATTGCTTACAGGGTAATTTATCAGAGACAATTTATTGTTTGTAGTCTTAGTACTAGTAAACAGTAGACTGTCAGTGTGCAGTATATCCAGTAAGAAGATTAGCGTGCATTTATCCTGTTTCAGAGATTAAAATTTCCATTTGCGTCAACTTCTCACTTAGATACAGCGACAAATAAATGTCCTCACAATTTAATTTGGAGGTTTGTGGAAATTAGCTGATTGACTTCAGGTCGGTATTCATCATAGAATGACATCAGTTGGAGGACGAATTAGAGCCTAGGACCACTGGATAGCTTTTTCGTCCTAGTATGGGACTCCTCAGCAATGCGCACCCATGATCCCAACAGGAGTCGAACCTAGGACCTTCGGGTCGCGTGACCAGTGCGTTACCGTTGGGCCACTGGGTTGGTATCCAATGGTTCACATTTCCTACTTCTATCAGTTGATGATATAACGCGACCTCCAAAGAATGTGATCGTTGAGTAACGATCCTCACATCCGAATTGGTTGGTTTCCCCTGTCATAAACTTTCCGTTGAAACTTCGGGAATTACACCTCGAAGCAAGTCACAATTCTAGACAACCTTATTTTTCTAATAGGCTGATAATTAGTGGAATCTTAAAGGTTTCAAACGAGATTAACATGTTGTCTAACCGAGTGCTCAAACGTTCCCTAGCTGAATAACGTACAGAAAAAGATAACTCTATGTCAAACTATCTTTCCAAATAAAAACCATAAATCCTCAGAAAAAGTAGAGAAGAAAAGTAACCACACAAATCTATTCATCGTCGATCAATAACCTGATGGAAATTATCTCTGAAACCGTTCAGTAGTCCCGTCTTGTATAATTTATCTTCATATGAAAAACATTATCTGATCACAATTTATGTACACATTTGTAACATCTTGGACAAAATCGATAATTACTGGCTATGCGAACGCATAGATCAGTGGTTTAGTACATCACTGAATACCTACATGGGCTGATATGATGAAAAAATGTTAACAGTTATCCCAAGAGGTTTTACTGAAGATATTCAGCGAAGCACTCATTAAAAAGGGCATTAACAACAAGAAACAGATGTCATTAGGTTGGATCCTCAACTGCTTCTAGTTTAGGACGTCTGTTATCTGCACAGATCCTCGCTGCATGATATATAATAATTATGATTTTTGTCACAATAAGGTTTCATTTATTAACAACAAGTCGACCACATACAAATAAGAAATAATTTTTGTAAAGTAATTTGCCAAAAAGTGACAAACTGTCTCCCTAGGGAGGTAACAATTCACCTGGGAGCATAATACAAGTTCTTTCATAATTGAGTGCATTGTCATATTTACATAAAGTGTCAGACTGTTTTTAAGGCATAGGAAGCAAAAGACGCAACCAATTTGTTTCCATCAAAGAATCCAGACAGAAAAAGGCGGACAACTCAACGTGGAACTTGATATATATATGTATATATATAGGAAAAGTGGTGTGTGTTGGCAAACATCAAACAGGTCGCTTGCATCTAAGATTAGATTTCATCAGCAACCCCATATTTCATACTTATGCAAATTTTTAAGTGAGTGAAGTGGTCAACGCATTTCACCACTACATTAACCTCAACCTAAGGATTGGTAAGAGTCATGAGCGCGTAAAAATGCACTTTTAAATTTATCCTACTAACAAGTAGTTAAGTAGTATTTACGAAAAATACATTTCAGTTGCTTTCTTTCTTGAAAACCTGAAATTTTTTTGGTAGGATTTCAAACTAAACACACTAATAGACATATTCAGAGACCACAACTTGATCATAAACGGTAGAATAAAAAAAATTATGCACATAAATATTCGCTGCTCTCCTCCGTCAGATTACAAATAGACTAGAGGACTGAAGAACTCATCAACCAAACTTACAAGTGACCTTGGAGATAAGTGGTTACTGCGGAGTCCATAAGATGATATGGGTATTGACGTTGGCTCGTACTGCCTTGTAGATAAACAGCTAAGGCAGACATTTCCTAAAAGATAGAAAATAAACGCAGGGTAAGGTTAGGCATAACACTAGAAGCGGTATGTGGTCGAATGATCCAAACAGCTAGCATCAATCAAAGCACACTACAATAGTGAGTCTCTCAGCTTGCTGCACATATTACAAAATAATCAACAGCACCTCAGACTAGAAAACACAAAGTAGTTACTATTCAGCGACTAATCGATGTGTCAAATCCAGTACTTCATGAGGTACATCACCGCCTTAGTAGCTATAGTAACTTCTCTGACTGCTGTCATCACTGATTGATGCGGTTTCGAACCACCGACGGAACACTAATTTCTTCATGGTCGCAGGTACACCTTACTAGTGAGAGCCAACAACCACGAAAGTCAGGTCAAGGACTGTCTGCCGACTGACCCCTAACATAGAAGATAATACAAGTTTCATATTATCTAGTTTTCCTAGAAAAATATGCCCTTGTAGAGTAACAGTATGAAACATAATGGTGATTTCCAAGACATTATTACTGAAATTAGGTGAATACAAATGTAGAAAAGAATTTAAGAGAAAAGAAGTAGGCTACTTAATTCATCCCAGTAGTAATTAGTTTACTGCAATATGATGGTAGGCCAAACTGTAGGGTAAACGATTAGGTGCGCAAAACAGTTAAAGAGAAGTATAAAACATTCTACAAAGAAATGTATAGATCTTCTTTGCTGACGAAAACCACTTTTAAATAGAATGACTACTGAAATTAAATGATAGATACTCAAAAACATCCAGCTAGAATTAATAACCATCTGAGTGGAAAGAATTGTGTTTTATTTTAACAGCTACCAACCAGATCTCGAATTCAGTTTCAGTGGTTATTGAGTTATTAATGAAGCTAAGAATACAGGTTGGTATTCATAATGAACTGAAATCAATTAGAGAAATATTGGAAACCTGGGAGCACTGTGCAGCCGTTTCGTCCCAGTATGGGACTCCTCAGCAGTGAGCATCCATGACCCCACCAGGGATCGAACATAAGACCTTCAGGTTACGTGGCCAGTACAATATCATTGAGCCACTGGGTTGGAGTCTAATGTTCCATATTTCCTACTTCTGTCATTTCACGATTTAGCCCAAATTCACCCAATAATGTCGTTGAGTATCTGTCCTCGTGTTCGGGTTGTTTGGTGACTACTTCTCACTAAAACTTCGGGAATCACCTCTTGAAGCTAGTCGCCAATGAGTACAAGAACATGGATTCTGAGTGGGAAAACCACCACAATGAAAGATAACTAATGAAATGCATTAAATATGATTATGGTAAGGAAATGTTTACAATAAAAATCTAAGAAATACTAGGGGGATACGTTATAAGCATTTGCAAGTTCTTCTCAAGATGAGTGAGAAATGGAAGCATCAGTAGTAATTGAAACTGGTTACAAACTGTTTCATCAGTCATTGTATTTAACTCCCTTTAATCAAGCAGTCAAGAAGCTGAAGACGTCCCTCTTTAGATGCCATGTCCTATAGCTCTAATCGCTACCGCCATTAGAATACTATGCAAATCAATTCACCATCTGCTACATATGCCAATATATACAACAGTAAATATGCAACACAAATTACCTGAGCTCCAGCGTAATGCAGCCAAGCTGAATCATTTTGGAAATCACGTTTCAACACATTATATGTTTGATAAGCAACTTCATATTGTTGAAATAAGAAGGCGAGATCAGCTAGACGACGCATTTGTGATTCTGGTGAATCAGAACTATAAACAACCATTGAACTATTATTGATCTGTGTTGTTGTATGCGATGTAGTTTGATGAGTCAGTACTGAAGTAGCAGTAATAGTAGTACTGTCAGTCGGTGAAGATAAATCTGTTTTAGGACCATTTGCAATAAATTGATCTTTAGACTGACTTAATACATCAATTGGTGAAAGAGTGGAATAAATCTTTGAAGTTGTCAGAGAAGACAAAGTACCACTGGTAGAAAATGCGTTATTACCGCTGCTAGGAGTGTTATTTACAACAGCAGTACCACCAACTGCCTGAGTGAAAAACTTTTTTGTTGCACTGAAAAATGAACGTGAAAGACGCATTCGATGTGCAATCTGCAAATTAATTTTAAAAAAAAAAGAACAAGATTTACAAATTATGAATTGTACTTTGAATTTTTTTGTGTTTATACTAGTACACAATTTGTTCAGTGGTAGCAGTAGTACCTTTTCGCTAGTTCATGACACTGTGTCAGAGATCATACCTCGTGACCCCGCCTGAGTGGTTCCCAGAGGGAACCTTGTTGACACCACAGTTGGGCAGTTGAGAAACTACTCAACTGTGAGAAATGTCAATGTGGACCGTGTAATCTACCAATCATTTGTAAATTGGTCATCAATTTTTTTGTTGCTTATGTTCAAATAAATGTAAAAATATTTGGCAAAAGTTTAAAAATTGATGGAAACACTGAAAAGACCAGGTGGGCGACAACCATCTTCATCTACAGCTAAACATATCACAGAAACGGGTCACAAAATTAATATTCAAATAGCTTTCAAAGTTTTATACGGAAAGAGACAGGAATGTATACTGAAGTATTTGCGAAAGTGATAACTATATCACAAATTGAAGCCACCTTTTTATGCGTAAAAAAACAATTCGTTTTTACACTACACCTATTGTGGTAGACTTTGTCTTAGCACTTAGATTAGGTTCAACTATGTAGCTCTTCCCGTTTTATCCTCATCTTTCTTAATTTTAATCCCCTATTATCTCAATTATTCCATTTGTTCTCTCATCCTTCGGTTTAATATGAAGTTTAATAAATGGATCAAGTTGCTTTCAGAAAAAAAGCCGATGACATGGTTTGAAACGTAGTCAGTCACCCACTCTGTTAGTCAATATAGACATGGAATCTGGAAATACTGTGTAACCGTCCAAATCACTATTTCTAAGTGGCTCAGTGGTTTAGGGAGATGACTATCAGCCAACGAGTCATGGGATCTAGCCCCAACTGACCTACTGAGGTTACGGTGGCCAGGTTATTAGTATCACTACGTCTCACACAACAGCTGTGGCTCATTGTCTACTCCATAGATTTCACAAGGTGGTCAAGAGACAGGGAAAAAACATTACCAAAATGTGTAGAAAGTTGTACGAAGATAGGCCCAACCAAACTGACAAAACATCAGCGAAAAAGCTACTCACAATTAATTTCATTCCAAGTTTACAAGTGAAGCGTGTAGACTTCAACCCACCCACCCTCTCAACCCCCCCCAAAAAAAAAGAGCGCCTAACGTGTTTTTCCACATATTTTAAATTCGATTGGATAAATGAAAGTGTCTCCCATATGATTGGTCAACCAACCTACCTAACTGATTGAAGTATTTAACACTGGAACTCAGAAGTACTGATCAGTATTACCTCCATTATTCAGTTTTAATCAGACTCAGTAACTCCAATAAGTTGAACAAATCTTGATAACAACTTATGGAATTTCTTGATAGTAATAAAATTAAGACAGCATACAGTTCCTAGCTTGCTTGACTAAGTTCCATTTGGTTCAAGTAGAATTCTTTAATCTAAAGCGTTTGGTTGTGAAACAGTGGTTCTCACTGATTGATCCAGCATCAGTTAAGACTCAGAATAAGTTTAACATTATGGCTTTGTCACGTACACATTTCTCCATTAGATTTGTTGATTAATATACTTCAGTCACTCAAGTGATAAATATCCACTTTCAATTTAACAACTGACATATCTGATAGGTTGTGATCAATTCTGTACCATATTAAAAATTTTAAGATCGAATGTCTTAAAAATCCCCCGTCAAGAAGCCTAACCTTCTATAAATGCCAAAGAACAGTAGCCAGTAAAGTCATGAGTCGGTTTCATATATTTTGCTTATATTTGATATATATATATATATATATATATATATATATATATATATATATATATATATATATATATAGAGAGAGAGAGAGAGAGAGAGAGAGAGAGAGAGAGAAGTGTTACGACGTTAACTGAAGTCGAAAACTTGTAGCTTTCTCATGACCATGAACTCAGTAACAGAACTAAAGTTTCGAAGGGAGAAATCAAGCTAAGGATATCATTGTATCTAAATTCCATGGTTTTCATATTTCAACAAAAATATATCAACAAACAAAAGGAGTACCAATGGGATCTCCAATATTGCCAATTGTAACGGATATTTATGGACAGTTGAGAGCAGATGGAATTAGGAATATTCCAAACCACCCTTAAAGTATATTGGCCCGATATGTAAATGACAAATTTATAATGTAGAAATCGAAGGGTGATAATCTGATCGGCACACCCTTGTAAAGTTCTGAAGCCTGTCTCGTACTCTCGAGCTCCAGTAAGGTGGCACATGACTAATAGACCCAAGGGTCTTGGACGCTATATTATTTAAACTGATTCCTCCTTCCTGTCTTGTAGACTGGAATGATTCGTGAAGTACACTGAACTGATGGCACTATCTCTAATTCCTTCCGTCACCATAAGAAGCGATTTCCAAACTCCATCCTTGAAAACTTAGGATGGCAAACCGTTAGATTCAGCTGCTCTGTATCATTTCAGATTTGATACAGCTTTCTCAACTTCAAACAGTTGGATGGCCGATATATACATCCCATTCATGTACATGTTAGGCGAGTGCGGCGTAGCTGCGGGCTAGCTGAACTGTATTTTATAGTGTTTTGCCTAACCTTCTAGCCACCTGTCCTGGGAAGTTATCAGCATCCCATCCTTTTTGGTGATGGCTTCACTTAACATCGTCTTCTTCTTGCCGGTAGCCTTAATAAGCCTAAATAGTTGCTGGGTGTTACACAGTGCTGATGCCTTCTCCATTTCTCTTGCTTTCAGTACCCACCACTGCTCGCAATCATTGCGAAGACTTTTGGTCAACTTACGTTGAATTTACTTTCGCTCTTCATAGTGGTTAGAGCCAACCAACTGGAATCTGTCTTCTCGCATCAATCAGTTCGGATGACATCGCCGAAATTCAATAATATTTGCTAACATACGGATGTAGGTTAACAATTGTCTTCACCACTGTTTCTACAGCAGACTTAATATCACGCAGGGTTTCCTCAAGATGGGCATTGCTGTCACGTTCAAATAAATACTTAGCTAACCTCTCCTCTAAATGCTTACTTGGTATCTTCATCTTCCAATCGAGCATAGACAGGCTTTACTATCACCTGTTTCCTGTGACCAGCAAGAGGCAGACATACACGAGCCCGCACTAGTGCGTCATCGGAGTTCAAACTAGTATTGCGGAAAGGGTGGAAATAGTCCACCGATCCTCTCCAACGATGGCTCACAGCAACGTGATCTATCTGTGTCCACCGTTGGTTTGAAGTCCAAGTTGGAAAATATCCGATTACTCAACTATAATTCGATAGCCTAACTATAACTTGGTCTTTTTAATACTTGACAATCGTGCATCAAGATTCATGAGAGAAATTGGAATCAATACGGAACTTTCTTAACAAGCCGTAAACCAAAATGAATCGGACGCAATATCGACGCGTTCATGTAAGAATTAATTTAGTTCTTCGGACCAATAGCGGGAAAGATAAAACTGTGATTTTAAAAAACAATGGAGAGAAAAGAGACTCACCTGATCATTAAGACTACGCATTGTTTTTTCCACCCATGGGAGGAGAGCTCGTACACTGAAATCATAAACAAACATACGTATCCGATCTCGATCAGCCTGTGTTAAGTGTTGTCCATGTGGTTGAAAATAACGTGGAGGCAGAAATGTGCATGATTGAGAGGCAACATTTTCAGACTGTGAATGTGATGTATCGTAAAGTGAGGTTTTACTTCTACCTAAATATAGAGAGGCAATAATATAACAAGCAATAACATAAGTGTCAAACTAAAATGGATGTGATCAGGGCATGAAAAGATAGAAGGAAAAATTGGTGAGGTTACTCAGGGTTTTCCATGGAATGTATCTTCACAGTACTTACCGGATGAAACGTTTTGGACACACGTCAGACAAAATGAGCTACAGTCTAACAAAACATGCAATGTTACCTGTAACAGGAATAGATGGGTATGAAGTTAACAGAGGTCAGAATAGGACGTGACACCAATTCATAAAGTCCGTATATATCAGTCAGATTCTTCCATAAGTGTAAGTTGCCTGACAGAAGTCAAAAGCCGATACCACTTAATGTCAGCTTAAAGTCAAACATGATACAGCATATACATTCACTCTATTATCTCCAAAATTGACATAAATGGCTTCTAATTCCAGTCGATTTTATATTCTGATATGGGAAGTTGTTTTGGAATTGCGACCACATGAAAATATTCTTGTGTTGCGTAATAGCATCTTTCATATTTTTTAGCTAACAAGCGTCAACGGCTACTCATACTGCCAATGGTAACGCCGTTAACCTCAAGTGACAAATGGGTACATGTGAATAGAGGAGTAGTAATGTCGTTTGACATGCACTGTTTAACTGTCCACATTTCCTAAAACAGTCCAAAGCTATAATCAGAGAGACTTCAGGGAATACTGTCATTGTGTTAAACTGATTACAAATTTATCGTACGATGTCTTCAACTGGGATAGCACGTTGAGAAAGGAAATAGTTGAGTTTGTCTCATTTATCCACCACACCATCTAGTTGGTCCATCTTTTTTGTCTAAAACTCTACCAACTGAAACAGCGGATTATGTTGCTCAAATGGAACGATAACACCTAACTGACTGAAACTGAATCTACACAAAGCCTTTGTCAGAGATATAACTCCTGAGTTGTGTGGCCCATATGTAGTTTCTTCTAAAAGACAAGTCGAGGGAACCTGTCGGTCAGTGGATAGCAACGAACTTCATGTTGTTCAACCATTCGTCGCCTGACTATCCACTTAGCTTACTGACTGGACCCCAACGAACGCGACTAATACATGGTAGAACTACCAAGTAACTATTAAGATAAGATTTCCCATTACAGGTGGAAGTTATTTAACAAGATTACCACCTGTAAGGACATCTTATACATACCTAGCCATCAGTTACCTTGTCATATGATACCGAAAAAGAGCTGGATAGCTGGGTAGAAGAGGAATGATATGGATATGAACAATAAACTATGTTCGAAACGTTATAGAGTAAATAATGCTGTGTAACTGTATGACGATTCTAATAAGCAGACTAAAATGGAATTACAATCTATCAGTGTCCAAGTTTTACTCCTATATGAAGAATGATGAGGTCCAGCCTCATTCATCGACCATAAAAATCACTAACTAGTGACTTAGGCTATATAAAAGAATAGTGTTATTGCTTGTGTTATACCGTCGTTGACTGGACTGAATTGATCGGTCTCTATTGGCATATGGGCTTCTGTGCAGATGCCTCGATATTGCGTTTTTATTCATATATATTATTGATGAATAGTGGTCAGCAAAAGAATATAAGACATGCGCTTCGTCCTATTTGGGACTCGTCAGTTAGATTACACTGCCTCTTAGTGAGTGTTGTTCCCACCGGGACTCGAGCCCGGGACCGATAAGCCCATATGCTAATAGAGACCGATCAATTCGGTTCAGCCAATGACGGTATAATACAAGCAATAACACCAAAACTATACCCGTGGCATCAGTCAATACAGTCCCTGACTGTTGGTCTGAGCAGTGTGGGGAGATGTAGACTGCCTAGTTAGGGTCTGCAAGACAAAGAAAATCAGTGGTTGAGGACTCTTGGTTACATAGCTGAAAATCGGTCAAAGTGACGCTGATGTATTCACTCCTTGATATCTTCTATACCTTGAATATTCCCATGAACCTTTATCTTCAGACTGCTTATTCTATTACACAACCTTTTCTACTTTGATATCACTTATTCTATCCTTCTGTTCTTTGTATACTACTATGAAGTGTGGCAACTTGAGCCTATGCACCTGTGTACGAGGTTGTACATCAATTTTGTGTCTCTGAGACCATTTTAATAAAACTTCTATTGATCCAGTCAGTCGATAACCTAACGGATTACACTAGAAATCAGGGCTTCCTTTGTAAACAATAAAGTTACTTACCAAATATTCGAGTGCTTTCGACTTCACCCCCTTCTCCTGTTTCATTCATAGTTTTCAAAGGATCATTGTTCAAACCAATGCTATTACTCAGCGATTGATTTTTAGATGATAGTGTTGTCGTCTCTAACCTCATTACATCTTCGTCATGATTACTTGATAATAACTTCTGATCCAGTTGAAGTCTATAACCGTGCGGTAGTAAGTGATGTAACCATGGATCAGATTGTGGTTCGTTGCTTGGTTGAAAGGTGTTGTTTATCTGGTTTGATATCCCATTGATTCGGCTGTTCACTAAATGATTTGATAGAGTTGTATTGTTATTACTACTATTATTATTACCGCCTGATGACAGCTTGTTATTCTCTGACGTAGTGAAGATAGTTAGCAGGTGACAATTACTTGCGCCAAAGGTTGTTTTAACTTGACTAAATACTTCATCAACACTAAACAAAAAATTTTAGAACGAAGAAAAATTGACAAAAGAAAGATGAATATACTCAATGTCAACATGGTGTTGGGTATTACAACGTAACAGTCAAAGTTGCCATATCTTGCATCAGCACATTGATGTACAAGGCAACATATGACAGACAGAAAAATAAAGGGGAAAAAGTGAAATCAAAAGTCGTAGAGAGTCATGAGAAAAGATAAAGATGGTGTAAAACAATTACGAAGTAGGATGTGATGTTCAAACTGGAGATACTGTGTAAGATGCATGTACGTGAATAAGATCGACTTCAGCTGTCATGCAGACTCCAACCTGACAGTTTACATTTCCCTATTGTAGTTCAGACCAACAGTCAAGGACTTGATGTACTAATGTCAAATATTAGTCTGGTCACCTCTAACCTCTTTCCAGTCTTAACCTGCTTTGACTAAAACAACATATATTCTAGTCATTTGAGTGGATGAAGATTCACAACGTCATCAACCGACTTACCTAGAGTGTTTACCTACAAATCTACGTAGGACTTCTAATTTGCTGACTTTGTGGTACAGACTTTGTTGACTTCAATATCATTCATACCTATCCTATCCATTTCCACTTCACACAGTGTTGTGAATTGAGGCATCTAGAAATAATTTACTTTTGTGTCAAGTTCTACGTCCATTCGTTCCTTTGCTCAGTAATGGGATTCTGTGTAGTAGGAGGCTTCCTAATAACGATTAGTTATCCTGCGCATTTCAACAAATATATGAGATGAATAGGAAATTTTTTGTCTCATTTAGTGCTTCATTATTCATTGTAACCACCGAACTAGATTAAGTGTAAACTGCTTTATTTTCACCAACAGAAAGTCTGTTGTTTAGATGTTATGTGTAATTGGCACTAACTACTCTCATTTGTAGATGGGCATAGACACGGTCTATGCTATGGTCGGTAACGGTGGGCGAACACCTGTAGGCCATTGTCATTTACGACAATTTCAGATAATATGACAATATTCTTTGTTGGCATAAAAACTGGGTCGCAGCAAGATTCGAAAAAGTAACCTCGAAATTATAGACACGGTACTTTATCAATTCAAGAAAATCTTTAATGGGCGTTGGTAGACAAATAATAAATACTTGTAGCTATTTCAGTAGATAACTGGACTGAAGGCCGTGAGACTTTGAGTTCAAAAACCACCACTTTTTAAGCTTTCTGTAAATTTAACTCAAAATCCTTCAAGAAAATTATTTTGGGGGATTAATCATACTACTGAATACGGAGAAATTAGTCACTGAAAATTGCCAAAATAAGCTGATGCGGTATGAACAACCTATGGTGATAAGGGAAAAGTTGCAGTGAACGGTGCGGAGTGACAATTGTCTACGCAACACACCTGATACAATCAATCCGTATAGATCAGATAAGTTAAATGGGAAGGAAAAAGCTCAACTCTCTGAAATGTATCTCTTAGCCAGTTAGGTATTATTAATATACGACCCGAATTTACTGCATAACGGTCCCATTCACCATACCTTACACCAGTAAATCAAGATGTTACGGCAACAAGACGAAAGCCAAAAAATCGAGATGGTCGGATCAAATGTTGTAGACAAACAGAGGATGAAAAGAAAAAGGATTAAAGTAAATGACGATCAAGATGAAGATAAGGAATGAATGAATACATCTTAACAGAATCTCTGCTAATGCATTGCTCATAAGATTGGCGGTAAACAAGTAGGGCTGCTAATCTACACTATTTAGACCGTTTCGATCTAGTTAATAGAACATTCCATTTGTTGACGTGAATTTTTTCTAACTACTAATTATCATCCAGTAATATTGATACTAGTAGTAATGCATTCAAGATTGAGTTGTTCGGTGATATGAATTTTAATAACTTAGTGAATACTTGCGAGAACTTTAAAGTGGAGCTGTTGCTCATTGATTCAATGCACTCAACTTCCAATCAGCAGGTCACTAGTTCTAAACTCACAACCAGATAGTGAAATTAATTAGTTCCCCTTCAATAGGTACGACTCACTGTCTACTCCACGGACTTCTATGTACTTGTCGAGTTCATTCCGATTTTCTTCTATATGCACAAATGATGAATACTATTTAATTGCTAATACATTGCTGTAATCAACAGGTTGGTGACGGGTGAAATGTTTGTTAATTAAGGTCAAGAGATTAGAAAGAATATGCAATAACATAACCAGCGTATAGAATACTCTTTTACATGACTGAACAAGTTTAAGTTCATCTTGATAATTACTAAGTTAGGCTTAGATTGAAAAAATATTGAGATAATAGGGAAGGCTTATAACTCAGGACGCCGGTGATTTGGTGTTATCGGACCACTGCTATATAACCACTTGCAGATTCGTTCATCAAGCAATGAACTATACCTACTGTGTGACGGCTACTGATAATTCTTGACTGTTCAAACTTTAGTAAGTCGAGTGGAGTGGAGGAACCCTTGACTAGCTGGTTAAAAGTCGGATGCTCAAGCCAACGAGTAATGATAATAATAAACCTGATGATTGTCATTACTCCGATTTTATGTCATGTCTGCTGCACAACGATATATCACATCCAGAAATGTGAGCATAGAATAATGGTAACGTAACTGTTGTTATGAGAGTTCGAACTGCCTAAATTCCGTTGCAGATACCAATCGTCCCAACAGTTCTTACATGCTGGTTTTTTAAATTATGTTGAGAGGGTACGAAGACAAAAGATGTAACACTGATTAATTACTGGAGGGTAACCCTGACCGGAAAGCTTAGTGGTAACATCACTGATTGCCACATTGCGTAGCGCGGATACGGATCCCAGGCTGGACATCAGTTCCGTCAAGTCAAAGTTTCAGATACATCTTGTTAACAAGTGCCAGAAAGCACAAAACCCGCGTCAAGAAGGGATTCTCCATCCAACATCTATCGAATTGCCCAGGTTTTCTCAAACCATCAAATCCCAACTTAGTTTGGATATTTAGCTGGATTTTGATTTCGTTAACCTCTACTACAATGGTGCATGCCTCTACAATAATCCTCGGTATTGATTTTAGAGCTTAGTTAAAGAACCACAAGGGGACAGGAAATATGTGTAGTTTCCATTTTTGGGACAACCGCGGATGTGCTCCCATGCGAAAACAAGTGTAGAATAGTAACTTCTTACATATGTTGATTGAAAAACAGAAACCACCGGCATACGTAACGCCACAAATTTCTTGGCTTTGATGACCACCCTAACAAAGACTGAAATGACTAATTAGTTTTTTGATTTTATACAAAAACTGCCTTTCGAGAAGAAATTAAGATACTTAGTTGGTTATTTCAGTAGTTGCCAAGGTGGCCCAGATGTCAAAGACTTGGTACAAGCAGGTAGACATAACTAGCGTCATGACTGCCATGCCCTTTAATGGTTGCCAGTAGAGAAAGACGACGGTTACCAAGACACTTGAGTTTCCATAATGACTCATACACGTTACCGTCGGAACATTCAGGTCGTAAATGGGCTCATGTATTACTTCAATAGCCAAAATTATGAAACCACTGGATGAAAACGTTTTGCGCTTTCATCTTTAAAGTCACCTTTACATAAATCACAAATTTTCACAAAAGAAGTAAAAATGAAAGTGATTACACAGAGCCACTATGAGGATGAAAACATCTAAACGCAACCCCTTTACCATAATAATAACAATAATAGTAATGCCAATCATTTGTCATCATCTTTAACGAATGCAACCATCCAGATTCATGGTGTCATTTAGATGTTCTGAATTCTATTTAGTGTGTGTGTGGGGGGGGGGGGAAGGCGGAGGTTAGGCTTAGAGGTTTCAGACCGTGATAATAAACATAGATCACTATTTAAAGTGAGAACATGTTCCTATTGATCATCGTTCAATGACTGACTCAAGTCATATCAACATATTTTTTTAATGTTTTTAAAAAAAGTCAACTTACCAACTCTGACTAATATTTGATGAGCCATCATGTAGTAAAACATAGAATTTAAGTACATTTTCGATGAACCAAAATGGATAACCACTTCTAGGATTTTGATGATGCTGTTGGTTGGATTGACTCTGAGTTAATTCAGTGAAACCACGAATTGGATCAGGATGGCCAGTTGTTAATACAAATATACAAGCTAAATTATGATTGATAAACTCATGCTCAAATGGTGAGCGTAAATTTGTGATGAATAGATATCGCCATGCTTCAAACCATGGAAGAGATGCTGAAATATAAGTTTTTTTAGAGAAGAAAAGTAATCCTGAAATGGAATGTTTATGAAAAGAATATTTTCCCCCTTTGAATGAAAGTTGGCCCTCTGATAGCAAATATATGCATCACTGCGTTAGGATATTCTACTTGAATGGGTAAAAAAAAGGAAGATGATGATAATAAAGGAAGTAAAGTAAGAAATAAGGTTGAAATTTGAAGGTGATTTCCATCACTTGCTTGTTGATATTAATCAAGGAACTGCTTGAAATTAAGTAATACTACACAGTTAACTCATACTCTGCAACATCATTCTTCAGTAGTACAAATAAAAAGTTCTTGTTTTGGATGGATTCAGAACCATCAAGATTACAAGTTCACCTCGTTATCCTAGTTGTAAGTCAATCACATAACAGTTTCACTTTATATCAACTGGAGAGATAATGAAAGTATCATCTTCATGGATATCTGAAAGGTACTGGCTTCAGATAATTTACTGATAAGTGCTGAATAATTTTATCAAACTAAGGAGTCCAACATATTCGGCATATTTTGATGCAGCTTTTCCAGAAGGTGATATAGGAACTTGGTATGGATAAGTGCAGAATAGGACAACCAGATACACTATACTTGTTATCTTCCTTCATTGGCATTTTTAGTAATATCCACAACTGTACTGAGAACTTCCATGAGAATTATTAGAGATGTTGCTACAAGCAAGTTACCATTTATCAAATGCATCGGAATTTCCAAACATATTTTCCCACATCAGCATGTCATAAAAGTAAGTGAGAACTAACCTTCATTTATAAACTTCTCTCATACATCTCTATCTACTTTGATGTCAGTCTTCTTCTTGACAGTCATCTCCCTAAACCACTGAGCCACAGGTCCACACTCTTTACATTGTTAGCTTGATTAAAGTACAGGAATACTCTATACGCTTTGATATTATAGTTACTGTAGGTTCTAAATAGGTGATAAAAACCAGCTAAACATGGTAAGGTTATACTATTCTACTCAAATTGTTGTTTACGTCATCAGTTTGCGGTGAACATGAAAAGTTTTCTACAGTTTTATATTCTTTTGAAAAAAATTCAAGAAACCCATCAGGAAGCACTGTGGATACTACTGAGCACAAATCATCACATACCCATTCGAAGGCACAGAGGTTTAAGATGAGAGTTTCAGAAAAGTGGTCTCATTCCAAGCTTTCACAGCGTTCAGTATTAAAAACTAGCACAAAGCATCTCGGAATAGGAAATTCTACACGATGTTTTCACAAATGAAGCAACCAGGTTGAATTAGAAGGAAAGATTCCAAAGACTCTAACAAGCAACTAAACAGCCTGCAGCAAAACAAATACTTGGTCCTGCAAAGTGAAAACACTGGTATTCACACTCTATAATAGCTCAGAAGCAATTACAGCTTGCATTTTACACCTCAAACATTGAAACAGTGCTGTGAAACAAATCTGTATTGGTAATAAGTATAGTAATAGAGTAGAGGTGACTGAGTGTGTTAAGCCAATGATTATTTAGGTAGCTGCACTGATTGAAGGTATCTGAAAAATTCACAGTATCAACACGGCCCTTATCTGACAGTATGGAAAACTCCCAAGCGCTCAGATTTGTCCTATAAACTGGTAATGATATAATAGGATCTTGGGTAATTATGTATCGATGCAACCTGTCATACATCAAGAGAGAAGTCGATAAGGAGAAATATACAGGAATGACAATGATTATTCCAGTAGTCATAAAAGAAAAGGAATAAGAGGGACAAACATATTTGGCGATAGGATGTTCAAGAGTTATATGAAGATACGGACCTCTTAAATCACCACAGTGACCAATTTTGAAAGATACCGAGTTTACTTTTATGGTGGCTTTATGTGTGCAACAAAATGGGAATCAGGCTTGAAAAAGGATTGTACTGGTGAAAATCTCAATAAATATCTGATTAGTATTACTTTGGTTATACAGGATTAAGCTAAAAAGAATTGCTTGGTTTCAATAACTTATCAATTTATGTTGTACAGCGGTGATGGTGACCTTGACGTATCAAATTCACTAAGCAAACTTCCAGCACCTGAATGATATACTGCAAGCTAGTAGAGGGGTCTATAGTAGTTGGGCTGTTACTCAAGTTGAATATATGCGTGTTTACAGCACGTTATTGCGGTTACAGGGTTTCGGTCGTATGTGTCTTTGTAGCAGTGCTCGCATTTGGTGGAATCACTATGTGAGCAATGTTGGAGTCAGGCGAAGAGTAAAAAGCAGGACAGGCAAGCCGATTGATGAGGTTGTGAAGCTTCGTCGACTGAGATGGCTTACAAATTTACTGCGCTACCCACTTACCTCGATGTGCTATGCTGGGGGAGCTGGATTAGGTTGGAAGAGGATTCAGGCTGATTAGATCAACATGTGGTACCCGTTTTTGAAGTTCCTGACTGTTGGTCTGAGCAGTGTGGGGAGATGTGGACTGTCTAGTTAGAGTCTCCGAGGCGAAAGGAATCAGTGGTTGAGGACTCTTGGTAACGTGACTGAAAATCGGTCGCAGTGGTGCAGATGTATTCACTCCTTGACATCTTCAATGGCTAGAATACTCGCACTAGTTTTATTTTCAGAAAGTTTATTCTCTCACTACGTTATCTTCTTGGATATCATTTTTCTCTATCAACCTGTTCTTTGTGTACTACTGTGAAGTGTGGCAACTTGAGCCAATGCACTTGTGTGTGTGCGCGCGCGCTAGTCAATATTAATTCCTGAAATCTTTAAAATACATTTCAGTAAATGAGTATACAGCTGTTAGCTGCTGCCGTATTGACTTGGTGTATAAAAAACAAGGAGGCCAGTGTAAAACTTCATGTGAATTTGCGGCAGTTCAAGTAGCTAGACTTTGCAACAGCAAAAAGGAAAGTACACGACCATTAAAGCAAAAGATAACGATATAGCTGTAAAGAAAAGTGATGATAGGACCTGATAACAAATCCATAAATTTCATGATTACCAGTAGATACATCTTTCGCTACTATAATTGTTTTTAAGACATAATACTTAATCTCTCACCACTGATTTCTAAAGTTTTGAAGACTCCAATCAGACAGTTTATACTTTTTTACATGGCTATCAGCAGAATTGAGCGAATTTATAAACTGATTCAGTGTCTTGGTTTGGTGATCACGAACTTTTTTTCCACGTAAATCCACTCCAGCTAAGATATTGTGCGGGTTTATTACACAACCGTGTTTTATTCTATTGTGAGCATGTGATAACACCAGACAGAAGAGCTATAAATATTGACAAAGTCACTGATTCGCATCTAGGATTAACTGAATACTAACTAGTGATTAAATAGCACATTAATTACGTTAACTGCTGTGAAAATATATCACAAGCAACGTGTCTAACTATTTTGTTGAAGAACGCCTTTAGAATTTATTTGGTGCCCATCATTGGAATTCAGGACATGAGAGCCTCAGTGACCTAGTGGATAACGCTCTGGAGTTCAAAGCGATGGGTGCTGGGTTCGAGTCTTAGCGGGAACACTATCACTTGCTGGGGTGGAAGTAAATCTAATTGAAGAGTCCCAAATAGGACGAAACGTACGTCCCAGATTCCAATGCAACCACCAAGTAATCTAAAACATAGTTAACATGCAGGTAGTATCGGCACATCCGCTTAGGAGCCCATTTGCCACCTGTCAACAGAGGCCAAGCAATTCGATGCAGTATAACAACGGGAAATTACAAGTATCAACACATGCTTGAATTTTAGGACTTTAGTCTGGCCTTCCGATAGTCTTTGGAAGCATAAAAGACTATGTTTCGAACTTTTCGTGAGCTTTTAACTACAAAACATCCATTCAGATATTTAAGATTACCACCAATATGACAGATTATTTTCAAGTTTTCTAACCCCCCACCCCTCCAAACATTCAAAAAAGTGTGCGTCCGTAACACTTCACAGTGGAAATGAATTACCATTTCTAAAAATTTAATCGATATTATATTCTACACAAAACTACTAAGAGTCGTTGTAAATTCATTTACCTCTAAGAAATATGAATGCGACTAATGAGAACAAGGTCAAATCACTTCAGACTTAAGTAAGATATAGTATCGACTAATAACAAAAATTTAAATGTTGGTCAATAGCTGACGAGCGATCCAGAACCAGTTAACTAGTGTCAACAGTATAGTTGTAGTGTTGAAAGGACAAATTTATGCTCATATATGAAAGGCAGATATGTAGCAAAATTATTGTTTACTATTCAATACAACTTCTAAGCATTCAAAAGGTATCAACAGAAAGTGCGATCGAAAGAGGAAAACATAGTTTGCACATTAACGTTACAAGTTGAATTACCTAATAACTTCATTTACATATTTTTTTACATTGATAATACTGCAAGAAAAGTGATATGCAAAAGTAAAATATACGAACCAAAAACAAACTTGAAAAACAAAGCAATTTATTCGACGATGGCACTCTCTGACCGATTTCACTCAAGAGGCTGTACAATCGAAAGTATACACATCCCTTTCTGGTAGACAATGGTTTGTTCAGCATCGTATGCTTATCAGCAAATTAAATGCCAGGATCTTTTGGCATTTTCCAACTGTGCCATCTACGGATAGGAAGAAATGTCGACTGTATGTCAAAAGATAAGTGTATGGCATAGGCTCACACTGTGTTCCGCAGAGCGCTTAGCATGCATGGTAGTTCACGGTGAAAGCTTCAAAAGGCTTCAAATACCGAAAACAATGAATTACAGACATTGCTCGTATCTTGGAAGAAGTACTTAAACCATTTTATGATTAGGTGGCCAGTATCTTGGGCTGCAGTGTTTCAACTGATTATGTGGACCTATAATGATTGAGAAGCTTGGAAATGCGTCATACATGCCAATTCACATGTTAACCCCCAGCTTGCGATCCCAGTCGTTTAAAGTGATACATTTTTGTAAGTCCTATACTAAAAGGAACGAAAATTTAGGAACTGATAACCGCCGCTGCCACTACCCTTACCTATTTGATCCATCTTGGTTACAATGATTAATTAAATTCAGCTACAGGACGAAAACAGAGATAATGACCACTTCGGTGTGATGAACCACCTCGTGAAGGAGATTCGAAACTAAAGTCTCTCAATTGGTGGTTAATTAATGTGGCGACACTGACCTTTTGTCGAAAGAAACGTTTAGAACTATCTAAAAACCTAAGTAAAAGTATTCGTAATAAACTGCAAGTGAATTCATCTTAGCTCTTAATACAGTGATTTCCAGTTAAACTCAGCTCCAAAATACAACACCTGCATAAATTTCTGAAGTTGAGAATAAAAAACAACCTAGGCTACCTTCGGCGCCGTCGCGACGTTAATCTGACCGTAGAAGATCGGGTTTACAACGCTCTATACCAGTGAAACGTGACCTCTCCGAGCTGAGGATATGGGGAGACTCTGTGTGTTCGATCATCGTTGTATCTGCAGGATCAAGAATTACACCTGTTAAAAAACTACATCTCCTGAATCCGGAGATAACAGTTAGTAATGTAGCTATCATCCTCCGGATACCAATATTCAGATAAACAATCTCTTTTTTCTACCCTCAGATACTTCAACTGCCCCCAGTATAATGACCGTTTTCTACCAAGAAAAATTCAAAACCTTCGATGTTGATGGCTGAAGGTTCAACAAATATAAACATTCAGCAGTTGAATCGAAAGAATCAAGAACCAGGATATGAGCCCTTTTTTATCTCATTTAATAGTCACTTCTGTGCTGCTCATGTACGCATTTAATCGATACCTTAAAAGGGTCAAAACACACGTTCACAAGCTCTACATAAGATCTTGTTGACTTCTCTACTGGTGATGCGAAGAGCAGGTATTACTAGAAACCCAGTGATTACATTTTAACATTAAGTTCGTAAAAAAATCCAAGGAAGCAAAAAAGATAATTGTTAAATCGACAATGTTTCCAAATGCTAGCCCAGACAATCCCCCAATGGAACTCACTTGTTGTGAATATTTTGACTACAAGTTTATTTCATCTGGTATTAGTCAGCTTCAATTCGATGGATGAGTCAAAAGCTTTTAGCATCAATATACTATTTTAAAACATTTCTAAACTATATACATGAGACGGAGAAAATGCACGAACAAAAGTAACCTAAGAGAGTGAGATGAAGATTATTGAACGTTTAGTTTGAAGATGGCAAGGTGCTGACAATACTAACAAGTAGCTAGATCACAGGCTACCATAACAAGATCATACAAATTTACAGTGAATCTAGTTGGCTATGAAAACCCAGCAGAGCAACACCAATGGTTGTTGGAATTTTCAATTTAATTAGATGCACATGAGATAAAACGGTGAAAATGGAAAGTAAATGACACACATACTGGTTGTGTACCTTAAAAGGCAAATATTATTACATAAAGTTTGGGAACATATTAACGAGTATAAATTGTTTATGAATGCCCGCACCTGTAACATAATGTTTCAAGACAGTGATAAGAGAATCTCAAAGGCAGTGAATTGTTCCTTCAGCGGCGAGGAGCGGAACGCTTAGCGAAAAAACTTCCTGCTGCTGATGCAATATTTATGTTGCACAAATGTATCACTTTAAGGTGCATACTGGAAACACTGTTGATGTATTCACAGCACTATTGGTACCTAATGGGATTAAATGACATATTTTAGAGAACAGATGAACTTATCAGTTTGTGGACGAGCCTCGATGAAATGCTGTTAGTCACTTGTTTCTGTGGTGGTTCCATCAGAATGGGACAGACTCAAATCCATTTATCAACCTTGTACATTTGTGCAGTAGTAATGAGCTACACCTATTGCGTGAAGGCTTGTAATGTCACCAGGTTGCCTATATCTAGCAAGGTGGAGCGGTGTTCGAATCCGTGACCCATATGATTGAAAGTCAACTGCTAAACGCACATAGAAGAGATGGAATAATCGAGTTATAATATCCAACTACTAGTAACAACTGAGGATAAATGTATCTCCATCGACTCCTAATAATTAATACGTTACCAGAAGTCAGTGGTTAGATAATTTAAGTCATCTGGATTGAAGCTGACCACAGATACTTATATTCCGTCTTCATTTTACCAAATGAGAAATCTATTATTCTAAACTCATCAATATGTTAGCGTTTGCAGTGCGGGGGCTTGAACATTTCCGGAAAATTTGGGCACCTATACGGATAAGAGTCATGAAATACCCCTAGTCTTCCCAGTAACCCGTAGCTCCCTAGCCATTTCAGTCTACAAATTACAATTACCAAGCCACAAAAACATTCATTTAGCCGGAGCTAAACCCAGGAAAGCACAAGCGACTTCTTTCCCCACTGCAAGAACAAACCGAATGACAAGAACCAAGCCCAAAGAACTAGACATGAGAGATTAAAAGCCATGTTTCTTAAGCTCGCCCTATTGATGTTGAATATTGGAATATTACATCCACCAGACGGAATCACACTCAACACGTCCTTTTGATGCGATTTTCCGTCGTTTCATGTTAGCCAATCATTGTTGGATAAGATGAAAACAACTGCGATTTCCAATTGTGAAGGAACCTGATATGTCCCAGTAAGTACCTAACGTCTGTTACGAGCGAACTCGCATACTTACCTCGTAAATTTCATCAAAAGAGAAAAGTGGAACCCCAAAATTTTTCTCCTGACTTGGAACGATGTATTGATGTCAGACTACAAAACGCCAAAGAGATTTTTGTCACCTCATACTTTTAAAGTACAGAACCAAGGGATTTTAGAAAGAGCAACGGGGATGTCTTTCAAGTAGGTAAACGTCTATACCGCTTTGATACTCATAAAAGCGTGAGATTCTTGGATCTTTTGTGACTACATCACGGAAGTGATAACTGTCTCGGTTAATAAACTTTGATTAGTCACATCTTAAGGAGCGAGACCAGGGGAAAATAGTGATAACCTACTGCATCCAAAAACAGTCCGAAGAAAGAATAGATATACTCTTTTATTTGTTGTTTGCAGTTTGAAAACAATACATATTGCATCAAAACTTAAAGGTCACCACATCCATACACTGACTCCAAAAGTGATCGGTACCAGTGAGTGAATTCCGAATAGTCACTAGAAAAATCTAAAAGTTGACTGACCACGAGAAAGTGGAAATACTACGTTTACCAGCAATCAGATGGAATATCCATAAAGTATTCAACTGCTTAACATCTACGGCTAAAATATCACATTTGAAATGAATTTTAAAAAAAGCACATAGAAAGCTTAAGATTACAAACATCAAAACGCAAAGGAGGAAACACCATCTTACTTGGGACTATCACCGATCGACTCCCATCATAAATCCTTTTAGAGCGTATAGTGTAATCTGCAGAACAAACATTTACGAAATATCGGAGCCAATTTTGTGTAAGACGTCTAGGGATTGGACTAGCAGTCGCATCGAAGAACTTAAGTTGTAGATTTCTTACGGTGTGAACAACGTTTCCACTATCTCTAAACGTTACTGAGATTTGCAGGTTATGCGAAAGTAGTGGACAAACCATCTCTGGACAACTGACTGAAAGGTTTCAACAGCTCCTCAAATGTTAAGTTATCTCTGAGGCACAGCTCATCAACATCAGGGCTCACAAGCAAGCCAATACACGGGCTGAATACAAAGTTGACGAACTTTTCTCCCGAAATGCAGCACTTTGCCATCGCAGTAGACAGTAATACAAGGTAATCCACTACATTCAAAAGAGGTAACGCATAGTTCTAATTACCGCTTCTCAAGTGTTCCGAAAATATGCAACGTGCTATGCTTTTTGGGACAATAAACGAAAGAAAACAAACTGTGAGAACCCACGTTTAGCCACATATAAATAATACCAGCTTCTAACTTTCCAGCCTATTCTTACTGTACATCAGTGTCAAAAAGCAGTCTCGTATATTACACTTTCAGTGTTAAGCATTTAGTGGAATGTTATATCTGCTCCAAGGATATCGATGACGTCAGGCTGGCTCACAGCTTCTACAATTTTCAGCGACATAACAGCTCACGGTGACGAAATTACCTTCGGTTTCAAAGCCGTCATTTCTACACTGCCGCACGGAAAATATTAATATCACTCATTTGAGTTTAGAAGACTTGTGGTCCTTGAACTGTGACCTCTTGCCGTTGAAAACTGTTTTTTCTAATCTTATGGTCCTCCTAAGGATGACGTAGCTCTTTTGACTAAAGGTGATACGAATCACCCTTTACCTTCCTTTATCCCCCATCAAATGTGTTATCAACAACTTAGGGAAATTGAAAAACAATGTACAAGACGTTAATGTGTTTGTTATCCCTCAGAGGACTGGAATCACAAGAAAGCAAGACTTCAACTAGATCGTGTAGGATAGTCGTTACAACAGTCCTTTGTGGTCATAAGATTTCTGGTGACCATCCTTTCTCCATCCTTCTGCTAAGTCATACAAAAAGGAAATGAGGCATTATATTTTAATTTATTCAAGCTACAGATGTTTATCTGGTGTTCCCGGTAGCATAACAAATGAGGAAAGCGCTGATCTCACAGATTAGTGCATTGTCATCGAATCGGTTGCGGATCACAACAAGTTCAAACAAATACGGGTGGTTCCTAAATGAGTGGATATGTATACAATGGACTGATGCGAGCACCTAAACGCCGCTTTTCAAGCGCACCAATAACTGCTAACACTGGGGATTAGTGGATCTCTGGCACCTAATTTAACATTTAACACTTTGAAGTCACCATTACATCTCGTAAAGCCCTCGGAAGACTAGGAAGGTCATAAGTATGATTTCAGACGCACACAAATACACCTCGGAAAGTAGAAGCTTAAAATTCCTACAATTATGTTAGCTTTCACAATCTTTAGATTTACCTGTCAACAAGGTGCTGATAATGCTAATTAAAGGAAAGGGTTCGAGTCATATGAAGGTAGATTTAGTCATGGTAAAATTCAGTGGTTGGATTATAAATCTGAATATATCTTAAGCGTCTGACACAAATCTGGATACCTTTCCGATTTAAGTCGGTTCCTAATACTTCTAATGCAGGCCACCACTCACATGGCTTTATATTTGAATGAAGGCTCCAGATGCCCTGTCTTTGAAAGCAAAGCAGTAGGGAAAGGCAGTCGGAATGTAGACCTGTGTTCGATGAAAAAATGTTGAGAAAATGAGACACCTACTCCACTTGTAGAAAATTCTTCTGCAGAAGTGATGGGGCTTAGCTGAAACATGAGCTGTGAAATCATCCTCAGACTTCCCCCAAAGACTCGTCATGAACTTAGTCTTATATAATACATTTCATGTTTGTAGGATATGCATAACTTTGTGGGAGAAGCCATCGAGGAATTGGATGGTACTTTGGAAATCCCTGACGAGGCCAGTCTTCGACTGCCCGCAGGAACTCAACTGACCTTCACTTAGAAAGGCGTGAAATGTGGTAAACCCGTGAAGATAGGGTTCGAAAACTGTAAAATGTAGGTGTCTCCACAGTCAGATTTCGCCAAGAAGATATATCTACCCTCTTCGAGCTGTACGTAAGTGAATGTGATGACGTGAGACGTTTAGTCAAAGGAGGAAGGGCTTTAAAGAAGTCATACTTGTAGCACACGATCTTCGATATTACAAACCTCAAGTTTTTTCGGCAGAAAGTTCAGGCGTCCCATCTGTTTGCTCTTAGCAAAATTTTTTTTAGCGCATCCGACTGTCACAAACGTCTAGTGATTTGCCTATGGTAGCCCTCTACGTGATGCTTCGGAAAGCCCGTTCCGCTACGTCACACTGCTATGACCGGTCGAGGCAACGGTCTCTCCAAAAATTGGGCCCAGTCGACTTGCTAGGGGCGACGCAGCAGCAGTGAGACTCAGCCTCCCAGTACTTGAAAACTTTTTCATCATCGACCGCCTACTTAGAAGTATGCAAGCATCATACTGACCACCTAGAACTTTTGGCCATTGGTTCGATCAGTATCATGTGCAGGTCAGACTACTGCTCATAAGAGGTACTTACTCCATACTGGCAGCTTCATCAGATGGAGTATCGCTTATAGCTGAATCATCAAGCGAAATTATTTCATAGTTTCCTCAGCATAGAGAGGGTATCCAAAACTCAAAACGTGCCCGATATAACGCGAATTTTCTAAGAAGGTTAGAGAAAAATCACCAAAGCCTGCAGACTTGTGAGTCTGCCACCCATAAGCCGCAAAGCAATAAAATTTTAATGCCCTAGTGGGTGAAAAGAATACCTCATTGTGATCAAAGCGCTCACGCTCCAACAGCAAACATTTAGAAAAAAGAAAACTTCCATAAACAACTTGCTCTACGTGCTGGATAAGTGGACGAACGAAATTGAACATGGAAACAGAAATGGTACTGATGATATAACCTCTAAGAAGGTGTTCGATTTGTAAACTCATAATCACGCCGCACTTCGTCGACCCCATGCGAACTCATCTACGTCAAAAAATACACGGAAGTAAAGGCTAAAAATAGATGTATGGAAAAACAGCCGGTCAATAGGAAGGTGCTGGACATTACACCTTGTACGAAAACAACGAAATTCACGGTCCCCTAGTGCAGCATATTTGGTTCTCCTCTGTAAGAAAGTATCCATTAAGGATACGTCACTTTTACTCTTGTAATTTAGGCAGATACCTCAGTATGCTTTTGTTTTACCTTACTCAGTTCGTCTCCTTAGGTATGCTGGTAAGCTTACTCTCGTCGTTGCTTACTCCGCGTTGGTCATCATCCTTAGCAGCTGAAAAGGTAAAGACATGAAACGAAATTTAGTGCGCATATTTTGCTACAAAGGAAGATTTTACAGGCTTCCACTACACACTAAGTGTGAACTCCATGTTTGGAATTCGAGTTCCGTGAATTTTATCGGTTGGGATCCGATTGCGAGAACTGTGGAAGTTTGTGCCCTTGCTAGGTATTGTCTAGCATATCCGGACGGAGTGGCGCGTGCCTTCCCAAGGTTCTGGGGATTAGGATACCGGAAGACCATTGCAATCAGCTGCTGCAGTTTCTATGTGGAGAATATCCTACGGAAATGTGTAGGAGGCCCCGACCAAATTACAGAGACATGAACAACAATCATGTTGTCCAACATGACAATTCAGTCAGCTCGCACAATCAGTAATTTGGTCAGGGAGAAGTTCTGAATTCTGGGTTCATGCTGCGTTCGGCACGCAATGCTTCCCATGCACATGGATTCTCAAACAAACCGTTAAGATCTGAACAAAAATTACACATGCACAATGAAAATGTCCGTTTCTAATAAGAAGCGACTTGCAGGTGCAGGCTTCAGGTCATCCATCATGACTGCGATTGGGGTTACGTCTAGACGCAAAGTTCTATTGCCTCACAGATGTGCGTAGTTGCACTAACTTTGGAGACCGACGCGTCACCTACTCCCTTCCTCATACGGAAAGGTGTTGCGTGCCCACATAGGGTAGAATATTTTCAGTATCCCAACAACATTATGAGAGGAGAATGGCCTGTAGAGCACTCATCTGTCACCAAAGTGTGACTAGGGCCAAAGTAAATAGATCAGATCGAATTAAATATAGACTGACTAAATAAACTTACAATTTGCCTCAGGGTGCCCAAAGCGATTTAAGTTTTGTTCTAATGAGTATGCATCCAAGAAGGCTTGGATACCACTCGACGCTCCCCCTGTGCCGGCTAACGCGCATGTTCTCGAAGTGCCTAGCTCAGCCATATTGGCCAGAAAAGCAGAACGAACTTCTTCCCTAAACATCACTCTCACCATTTATTCCTTTTTAACATATTGCCTTTTTGAGCACATCCTGAGCAACTCACTCTTTTTGATTTGCGTTTCGCCATCAGTGCTTACACGTTGGGTGGGCTACTGGCTAGGCGGGTACCACAGGATATCGAGTGTAGTAAGGCCACCCGAATGTGGCATAGTGACAGCATACCCAGTCCTTTACAATCTTCCTGCTGGTTGACAGGACCAAATCGACCAGAAATTCCTTTCTACAACTGGGCGGAAATTGTCAAATGTGATGGAATGCGTCGGGAAAATCTTCCCCAAATGACCTTTGCAGTCGTATTTGCACCTAATGCTCTGCTTTTTGTTTCCGTATTGCAGTATATTCCCCGTGCCCTATTTTCTTATTCGCAGTGTTGTCAAAACTCACAGGATCACTTATATCAGCTTTTGAGTTTGGCAAAACTATATTTGCATTCGTCTTTTGTAATTCATCCCCACAACTGTGATTTGCCGTTTTCGAAACTTTTTTTGTTCTCACATACGTTGTTTTGCCCTGCTCAAGGTTGGACACGAAACCACTACGGTTCTGGTTTGGATTTGGCCACCTGCCGCGTCAGCTGTGCCTTGTAATCCCGAGATTTATTTTGCCGATGAGTACCTCAAGGAAGGAGGGCATACTATATAGAAAGGACGTAATCGTATCCATAGGTCGAGTGTAAACGTATTCTGGACTATTCATCGTGTTCCGGGGAAGATCATTTATTTTTGTTGTAGTGTTCTTTTGACCCTGTGGTTTATCCTCCACGAATGTCATTCCCTGGATTTTGGGGCGTTATGCGCTCCATCACGAGTACAGGGGATTCTCGTAAATATTACATTATATAACTTACTACTGTGAGAAACTGCAGTGTCCCTAAATTCTGACCTGTCGACAACGCTTTGTGTAGCCGTTTTGGTTTTCTTCATGTGTTAGTAGCAGGTAAACAGTATTTATGGGCTTTTTCAATTACTGAA